TAACATAGGACCTGGTACAAATATCCAGAGATGTTTCAATGTTAACCTTCTGCCATGATGAAAGCTGATAATTTAATCCTGTTCTTTGTTTTCTGGCTCTTAACCAGTTTTTGATCCTGGACTATATTTTACCCAACTCCATGATGGCTTTGCTTCTTCATTAGGCTCTTGTTGAAATCTTAATAAATTGTCAACTGGTTCTCCTTTTTTCATTGCTTTATTAAGAATTTTGGGAGAAATTTTAGAGACAAGGTGTTGAAGTGATTTGACATCATGTTTGACAAAGCCCTAGCTGGGTTGATTTAGTTGGGATTGGTCCTGCCTAGAGCAGGGGGCTGGACTTGATGGCCTTCTGAAGTCTCTTTCAGCTCTATGGTTCTATGATTCTATGATCCTGTGTAGGGTGATTCCTACATTTGTTCTCAATGTCTCTGGTTGCTGGTGACAGGCAAAATACAGAAACAAAGTGGCAGCCTCTCCAAAGTGTGAACTTGCTCCTTAAGTGTTAGGACAAGCCACATGGAGGATTTGGTTCAATGTCATACAGTACTTAAGATGCAATTTCATACTTAGCAGAGGATGCCATTTTGCTTTGCAAAATTGTGTCCGCCATACCATATAGTGTGATTGTGCAGTACAGCTGTGGTGGGCACTACTGCTTGCAAGCTGCGCACAGTTCATTAGGGTAAGCTGCTGGTGGGCTCTCAGACAGATTGTTTACCATGCATCTGCAGGCACTGAGCTTTGGTGATATGTGCAGGCCACAGTTTGCCCACCCGTACGGTACAGTGTGTGTGTGAGGCCATACTGCATGGAAGATCCAATTTTGTAGAGCAAAATCACGTGGAGCTGGACAGAAGCATCCCATGGGCTGGATCTGCACCACAATCAGTTGAACCACTCCTAGCTATGTACCTACTCCTCTCTCTGGGGCTCAGTAACATTCTGTGCTTACTGTAGAGATTTGAAATGATGCGGGGGAAACTTCAAACAAAGCAGAGGAAGGAAATGCTGAAGTACGTGCTCCAGCAATAGTACCAGCTTGGCCACAGTGAGCCTATATATTAAGGTACCAAAGTTCACGCCATCTGCAGGGTTGTAAAATGACATCTGTGTATGTGCAAGGGGCTGAGTCACAGACTGTACTGGAACCTTGAAGGGACACTGACCTGAAATCTAATCTATTTAAAATGAGAGAGCAGTAATGTCAGCTACTAAACTTGCTTGAGTTCCTCAGGAAAATGTCCTCAGAAAGCTAGTTTCCAATCTCAGTATTTTCTGTTGCTGTGGAGGGGCACACAAGTAAGTTAAATCCAGTGGGAAAACAAACTGCTCACAAAGTGCTGCCAAATTTGTAAAAGAAGCAGAATGAAGAAAAATTCTTTTAACCTCCTCTCTCTCCTTAAAAACAAGTCTGAAAATCCTATACTTAATATTGTTACAAATAATTTTTAAGTGGATGTTTTCCCTTTGACTTTTATGAGGTCTTCG